TCACACTCATTTTTTTTCTCGTTGGTATTTCATTAATTTTGAGTAATTCGAGATTCACAAATGTTTGGATTTAAAATAAAATATTTGTTTTGTTGGTATCTTAAACACAAATAAAACAATAATAGAAAAGTTGTATTTTATTTGATAATAATAAGTCTTGACAGTAAAATACTGAAATTAACATGCAATGTACTGAATTCTTTTTAAATAATCATTTCAAATATATCAAATGCTGTTAATTGAAATAAACAAAAGAATATGAGAACTTTAACTAATATTTGTTTTGTTTTTTTTTTTGGTTATTTCTAATTATCATGTAAAATACAGTATTTTGTTGCCCAGAAAAATACTGTAACAATGTTTTATTTAAAGAGTTATATTCATAACCAAAAGATTTATGTCATTTAACAAATTGTTCTTTTTAGTTTTGATGTTTTGAATAATTTTTTACATTTCTTTATGTAACTTAACTCTTTGAAATATCTAACTCATAATAAAATTGAATAAATTATTCTTTAATAAAACAACTGGAGTTACAATAAAATTAGTATAAATTCAGGTGTTTGGTTTGTATATGAAAGAATAGAATTATTATCCTCTAAGAAAAGAGTGATTTCAACATGACAATGATATTAAGTAAACTCCTGTCATAGTCAATAAACGAGACTTTAGGGTCATGAAATAGTATTCTGGTTCCTAATTTTTCAGGTATATAAATACGATTCTTTAACAAGTCATTTCCTTTATTCACAATATTAGTTTGAAATAAAATATAGATAAATGGAATCAATTGGATAGGTTAATAAAATAGTGAGAATGGGTTTTGATTATTTAAATTAAGGAAGTAGTATTTGATTAATTTTTAATAAGAAGAACACGACAAATTAATCAAATTACAAAATGAAACAATAACAATTAAGTGATGAAATCTAAAATAAATGAGAAGGAGTGAAATGATAAAAGAATGCAATCAAAGAAGAAAATAAATAATAAGAGAATGACTCTATACAGGAAGAAGATTATAAATGTTCCAAGAGAGAAGAAAGAGTGAAACATTGTTATAAGTCAGGAAATAAATTAAAACAAAATAATAACAAGATTTGATTTTGTTGAGTAAAGAATAAAAATTTCAATTTATTTTGGATTAACTCTTTTTTGGTTAGCAACAATACGATCTCCTAAATTGATTGCTAATGACTGGGTTTTACTTCTGATTCTAACCCATCCACTGATTTTATTTCCTATTTTTTCTGCAGATAAGTTTATTAATGCATCTTCATCAAACAAGTTCTTAGAGTAGAAATTGGCAGATAAAAATCCAATACTATCACAAAACATTACTGCTGGTGTGATACATTGTAATTTGGCAATAGAACATAATAAATCTGCATATTCTTTTAAATCAGTACATTCAGTGTCAACAGGAATTTTATTTTCCCATTCGTATTCCATCCATTTCTTTTGATATACCTCAATATCTACATCACATGGTCTCATTTGATCCAAGTATTCAATTCTTAATTCATTTAATATTAAATTAGCATCTAATGCATTATATGTAACACCCTTATCAGCAATATCATAATTAACATAACCACTAATCACTCCAACAGTAGTAGCATCAACTTTAACTCCTAAACTAACACGGACAAAATCACCAGGACCAAGAGTGACTGGTGATGGTTTAGTTTTTACAGTCATTCCTCCATGTGGAATGAGTTCAATAGTAATATTTTGTAATGTACTTGGTGTTTGATTCATAATAAGACAATCTAATGTAATATCAAAATGAGTAACAGTAACAATAGCCTCAATATAAAATGGATCAGAATATCCTGTTAATTGAACAATATTATTTAAACGTTCTAATTTTCTTTCTCCTTTAATTTGTTCAATTCTACTTTCTTT